CCCCCCCCCCCCGGCAAGTCTCTGTCGCGGCTGAATGTCATTTCATCGTCACCGCCGACCACAGGTCGTCACAAAGCGTTTTGCACATAGGATCCGCAGCTGAGCTGTCCTTCGCACGTCCCGATTTTCTAATTTTCCGTGAGGGCGTTGAGCCTCCCTCTATCTTCATTATTATCGGGGCGAACTATCACTAAAAATGGAATGAAATTCTATTTGCGGTCCCGTTCTGTACATCACACAAACGCGTACGACATGAGCACTCACAGAAGAAGAGGTGACCGTGGCGATGATACAGGTCTTAGCCCTTCCCCCGAGGCTCTCCTGCAGCAGCCTCGTCAGCTTAGAGTCCCGGTAGGGCACGTGTGGGTGGTGTTCCACGAGGGCTGTGATCACCCTACCGAGCGTCAGCAGGCTCTGGTTGATGTTTCCCGCTTCCCTCGCCCTGGCGTTTTTGGCTCCCGACCGGCCGACGCACTCCGACCTTGAATGAAGCATTGTCATTTTTTTATTACATTTTTGTCGTTGTTTGCATCGAGGAAAAGAACGAAATATTCGACAAGGGAAGGCAGGCCGAGGGCACAAGGAAGAAAGGGAGATTTAAGAAGGAACGCAAGACTTTTCAAAAGACAAAAAATGTTCGTCTTGGGGCGGACAAAACGAACACATGCCGAGCATGAAACAAAGAAAAAATAACGGTACAAGAACCACTACAAGGGGCCAAGAAAACATGAGGGACAACTGCAGTTGGTAGCAATGACAACGGATCTCTTCCTGTTTTGAACATCGTTGCCTCTATCTCTAAAAAACAGAACACAAAAACCCTGCTACCCAATTTCGAGTGTCCCTGTCCGAACCAATCACCTCGAACGCCGCAAAACACCGTCGCTGTGCAGATGATATCAAAAATGGATCACACACCTACCTCCCCAACGTCTGTCGCGAGGACGACCATTTCCCACAAAACGCTCCAACATCAAAGACGCAAAAAAAACTGAGTGCGTCGGGCTTTCGGTCGTCCTCACCCCGCGAGGTCCACTAGGTTGAGCTGCCCGTTCCGCATCACCTCCTGACCGTCCGGCATGCACTCCTTGATCATGATCTTGAGAGTGAAGATCGAGTGGCTCCTCGAGGAATTTTTGTTCATGAGCGTAGCCGCTGTCTTCCGCTGCTGAATACCCTTGCCGAGGATGTTGAAGATGTCCTTGGCGGTCAGCACCTGCACCTCCTCCAGGCCGCAGCACACAACGCCTGCCGCGTGGAGGAGACGGCAATTGCTGACACAGAGGTTTGGGCACCGGTGCACCGTCTTTTGTACAACGATGGGAGGAAAGGTGCGCTGTCCTTGTACATGGACAAGTCCGCTCTAGCCTCCATCCAACCACGATATTCATTGTATCATACCAACAACGTGGAGCAGGAGATTCCAGGAGATTTCAGCACTGTCTCGATACCTCTTTCAGGCCGCCGCCGAAGGACGCTTCTGCCGAATCTTAGCTCTCAACTCCATCAGTTCTTGTCCGAGGACATCAAGTGTCCGTACATCTCCTCTAACGGTGGGACACCCTCGCTCCCCTTGCTTAACGACAACAACCGGTTTGTACGGATGCGGGGTAATCATTACCCCCTCAACAACGTATTATCGTACGGGCGTTTGTATTAACGCGTGTGGCAAGAAGCGCTAGGTCCACCAGAGCATCCGCACCAGCGAAACACCTCATGAACGTCGTCGTGTGCTAACGCTGAGCAAGGTAAGCAAGCAGCGGAAAACATGGACAGAAAAACGCCTCAAACAACAGCCAGGCCACAGGAAACCATTGGTCGCGAATAGCACCGCGGTGCCACCGTGGTGTGCTGTTGCTCACCGCGCTTACTGTCTTCCCGCAGGACAACCTTGCTCTTAGAGCTACCATCAGCGAGAAGATCCGCCAGCTCCTGCAGGGCGGTGGCCACAAGAAACACGGTTCAAAAAAGAAGCCGAGCAGCACGCGAGAACCAAAAACAAGACGTGATGTTGAGGACCGTAACTCTTCGGTTTGGCGGGTGATACCACAGGCGGCGAGAGTGAGTAAGCCTGCCATCGTGGTGCGGCAAGCGGACGGATCTCAAAATAACCGCTTGGCACCATCGAAAGCATTGTCAACGCCGAAAGCAACATCGTCTCGACCATCAACGGAATAGACCACCGTCCTTCAGACCGCACGACTTTTTATCCCTCTGGGGTGCATGCCTTCACAATATCGCGGGCAAGACTTCAGCAATCCTCTCCCTTGAATAAAAAACAAAAAACCCCAGCTATCACCACCCATCACAAACCCAGGTGCGCTGCGGAAAGACGCCCCTTCCTGAAATTCTCCGAGCCTAGCGGCCACAAGGAAGCTCTTCGAGATGTTGTAGCAACTATTGAATAGACCCCCAATGCTACATCGACATATATTTGATATACGAGCCTGCAGCTAGACAAAGGACCCAATATCGCGACGGCTACTTGGACAGCACCCCACCTCGTTGTAAAGCTCCAGGAACGACGTCCGGACGGTGTAGTCAGCGCTGATGCGTTCTAGATAATCGAAGATCGCGTGCACAGACCGCGGAATCACGCCCATATCCTCAGCACTGGTGATGTCCCCCTCCATCTAACCGCCCCCCCACCAACGAGTGGACGCAAGAGAATTATGAGTAGTTCGGTCAGTGATACATGAAACAAGCTCCTTCCCGAGAAATCTAACTGGCCACAGGCAGTGGACGCAGGAAAGATTTGTCAGTGATTTCGGAACAAACCCGTTCCCAAGTAGTTCGGCCAGTGATACAACGAAATAATCCCGTTCCCGAAAAACTCCTCCCCAGCAAAGAGGAACATCTCATGGGATCGGTCGGTTCACGAAGACCGAAGGAACGAGGCTCTTTCACCATGTACAAACTCTTTACGGACTAGGCCAGACCCGCGCCACTTGCTGCCGATACAAGCTCTCGAGAAGGGCTTAGTTAAGCTCGATCGATTCGGACGTCGGTAGATATTGTTCTATGTTTGAAAATAGACAAGAGACGTTTACAACATGGCGGACATCCATCATTCCCCCCGCGACACTACAAGAGAAAACACTAGCAGTACTAGCAGTAGGAGACAAAACTCTTTCGTCTCCTGCGACCCCAGGTGCAACCTGGGTTTGAACAATCCTTCCACTCACCGTGTGTGTCTTTCCTGTCCCCGTCTGCCCATAGGCAAACACGGTGGTAGAAAACCCCTGGGAAAAAAAAATAATCAGGAACCAACCAATGAGCAGGGCAGCAAGGAGGAGCACCCGAGGCAGAGCTTGTTGAGGGGTTGTTCTAAAAAAAAGCTGATCGAGATGCAATCAGCCATGGGCACATCAAGCAAAAGCTCGCCACCAACTGAAAAGCATCGATTTGCAACTGCTGCTGCCCTACAGGGTTGCACCTAAAGCTGTAGTGGGCAGTTGGGAACCTCGCCACCTTGCTTCCTGCATGAAAGCCCAACGAAGGCTTTGCACCAGCGATACAAGATAGTGACCATTACATCGTTCCATGCCGGACGATAACAGCTGCTGCTGCTGCTGCTGCTGTCATCATTATTGCCGTCGCATGAGAAGGTACAGGCATAGTTCAACAATACGGCAGCGGCGGCGGCGTCCCTTGGCTACGGGGAAGAAATACCGACACAACAATTGCATTGAGTCTTCAACTGGAGGTCTGCCTTGGACTACGCCTACCTGAAGCATCTCGCGTACGATCGGCTCCACCGTGGACACGAACACCTCCTCCTGGGAGGCGAACGGCCCGAACACGTGGTCGTACTGGTAGGTCCGGTCCAACTTCTTGTGAGCCACGCGGATGCGGTTGTGGGAGGGCTCGGTGTTGACCACGTGGAGGTTTCCCGACGACTTCTCCCTGCCGTACAAGGGCCAACACAAGGCACACACAAAAGTTACACCTCAAAACGATGCTCATGGCCTGACAGCTGTTGAAGCCCCACACAGTCGTGGCCCCGATAGAAGAGGGTGGTGTGACGAAGACCCTCGACCGACGGATATCGGACCCTTCTCTTGGACCGGAACAAGGAGGGTACCCAACTCCTAACTCCTATACTTGGCGGAGTCGAGTCCGTACCGACGTCGAACCTCTACCGTAGTATTGGACCCACGATAACTGCTGTACGCGCAATTAATCATCTGTAGACTAGAGAGGTACACAGCGAGGATACACCTCCAAACAACAGCAGGCCACGATCGACGCGCCCGCAATGTTCCGTGTTCACGTTGTTGTAGGTGAAAATCAGCGGACCGATCCAAACAGGGACGCGCCAAGAATGCCGACAGCAGTACATGGTACCTGCACCGACGCAGACTAAGAGACGCCAAGCAATTTTTCTGTTGTTGCAGAGCTTTAGGTGGCGTGAGTCGAGCCGCTGATGGTGCACGCATAGTTTGAAGATGTGTGGACCAATGTTGTAAGGTCACCGCCGTGTTTTTGACCACAGGCGCTTTCGGCAGCAACGACTATGTCCGTCTACAAAAGCACTCCCGATAGCACCAGAAGCTTTATTTCTATGAAAAGATGCTTGCGCAAAGAGGAGTCCTTGACTCACCCGCTGATAGGAGAACCCGTCAGCGCTCATTTAATCTAAATAGCGGACAAACGTCGGCGAAGCATTACAGCAGTCACGGGCCCTCTGCACGACGGGAACATACCACGCCATTTTTTCCGCAACAGAGCGCACACCCGAAAAAATGATATTTTTTTTATCGCTCTACTTGTGCCAGGAGTTTCGCCCGCCCAACACACCAAGCCTACCCGCCCGATAACGCCTCTCGGATGTTGATCATCGTTGCGAATCGAACCCGCCTCTTGTGTGTAATACAACTCGTATGACAGGAGTGCTTTGTCCACTAAATCTTCACATGCAGATGCCATGGCACGCTGTTTTTTTGCTACCATGGGATGCCTGCTCTGCCCCCAAATACTTGCGCCCGCTGAGTCGTGTGTCGTGAGCCGCCCTGCATGGTTGCAGCTATTTAGGAGAGGAGCGTCTGCACCGAGTCAAACTGCCACTAGCGATCGCAAGGCAGACCAACTTACCTCGGTGACAACAACAGCGTTTGGAAAATGTTGGTGCGGATACTCTACCTTGTGAGATCTGTGCAATACATCGGCTTGTCCTCGGGACGAAGACAATCAATCCCTCAGAACCGTGATGCAATTAACAGACCGCTGGCTTGCTGTACGTACGTACAATACTGCTGTCTACGCGGCATGTGGGAAGCTCACGTTTTTCAGAACGAACGAGGAGAAGCGCGCTTTCGATACGGCAATTTTCGAACACTGCTGTAGGAGAGCCGGGGTGAAGGTATCTGCGGGAAGAAAACTCTCTACAGCGGGTGGAGCCAAGGAGGTTGCTCGGGAGCTTGGGTGAATAGGTGGGAGCTGCATCTGGCTACGCCGACGACGGTGTCGCCGCAGTTGTCAGCGGTCAGTCCAAATGGTATGTTCAAAAGTCGGGGTGAAGCAGCAAACCCCCCCACCCGGGGCGGCTGTACAGCTCCAGAGCAGAACGCTTTGTTCGGATGTTGCCACCAGCCAGTTTCAGTGTCGATCGTTCACACAAGCCACTCGCACTTCGGCGCAGTGCTCACGTCAGGGTTTTCCCTCCTACTTTAGGATATTCCTCTATGGCCACAGCACCGACACAGGCAGGATAATCCTACAGAGGAGGGAGGCGGACAGCATCGTTTCCGAAGCGCTTCTCCTGCTGGCAGGTGACACTATGAAAATAAAATAGGTCCGCGGTTCTGCTGCGGGTCACTATGCACATCGCACAGCGGCAACAACGAAGGCTGCAAAGCACACCTGCTATTCAGTGGGCGGCATCTCACTGCGACCTGAACGTGAGTGCCCGTCGAGCTCTCCTTGTCGGCCATTGTCCTTCGCGCCAAAACAGCACCTCGGTCGCGCTTGCTGATGTGATGTGCACCGAGCCCCAAGTTTCCCCCAAGTCAATCAATTGCGCGAATGCCTTTCGTTCCCTCTCGGACCTTGCTATCTTGCCGTGCTGTTCGCCACCGTGCAACGTGCTTTCGTTGGTGCTTGCACAGCCGTGTGCTTTTTCAGTCCTCTCCTCCTTGCTTCGTTGCTGCTCGGCGTGGGTCGTTGCTATTGGTATAAATGTGGCAGTTGGTTGATTTACGGGGCTACCCTCCCTTATCGTACAGAAAAAATATGATTTCAAAAGGGCGGGCGGGGGGGCTGGGGGCGGGGGTGGGCTCCTAACACGCCTCGGTGATCAAACTCCGTTTTGAAACTGCCAAGGCCAAAATCATTTTTTGGTCTCAATGGCGGGTCGGCCGGATTATATGCATGTGCGTATGTAAGTAAGGACGAACCTGCCCACCACAGAGAGGCACGTTAACTGGGAAAGGAGGGAGGAGCACGGAGCACCTGGTGGCCATAACCGCGACTGGGAGTCCAACAGTCCAGCAGCCTTGCCATGAGTTCATCGAGCTCACAGGAGGTAAGCACGACGCTTGGCGATAACGAATGCCAAACCTGAACAGAACCTCGTCCCTAGTGGCAGGGTCCAGGCATGGTTATGGCCGTCTGGAGATACACACCGCGTCGTGAGACTTGTGACATCCAATTCTTTTTGATGCACAGTAGAGCAATGAGGGTTTGGTGAGGGATTAGTTTATTTCTGGTGGGGCTCGCCATCGTCGGTGGAAACGTTCAGTCGGGCGTCTGGTGTAACTTGTGCCACTTGTTGTTGTTGTTGTTGTTGTTGTTGTTTTTCTTCACATTAAACTCCTGTCAGTTGCTAATAATCCCAAAATCTAGCAAAGACTCGGTCCGTGGTCACAAAAATGCTAGAGCCATCAGAAGATCTAAAGAACACACACACTATGAGCAAAAAAAGGGTACGCAAGCCCGAGGAGGTACACCTGCAATCTCTGCAGCACGTTTGCATTGCTGCTGTTCGTATGCATACAATGTAGACGGCCACCATCTCATACCGTGGGGCATGACTACGTCTCGCCACATATCGAGTTGTAACGCCCGCGATCAGCAACATTATTAGGGTCGTGAGAAATTCAATCACTGCTGTGAGCGTTGCCTGGAGAATTTCACCCCACCTGAAGTTTCTGCTCTGCGTGCGCGCCGCGAGGTTTTCCGTCAATACCGACGGACACACCGGTCGCCCCCGGTGGTCTAGTGGGTAGCCTCGCAGCCTGCTAAGGGCCAGGTCATGGGGTCGAGTCCCGGTAGAGTGAGTTGTTTCTCGCTAAATATATCCTGGTCTTCGTTGGAAGCGACGCGCTGCAAAGCTCCTTGTTAGTAAACTCGATCGACTTCATACGTCGCGAGGGAAGGGACTGCTGTACAAGTACCCTTCTCGCGATAAAATATCTCAGGCGGGAACCGCAGGAGGGGGTCCACGCCCCCCCTCCTATGTGACCCCGGTTGGGTCGTCTAGCTGGTAGAAGTGGAGCATAGGGGCCACAGGGGTAGACGGCAGAGTCCAATGATGGGAGACAACAAAAATAGGAAACTCTGGTATGCATAGCCTAGACTATAGTCTATATCCTGAACTTTTCTGCCACACACCTACGGTATGCTGCGTTCCAGCCCTGTTTCATCCTAAAAGAATGACCCCACAGCTGAGGTCCTCCTCTGACACGCCATGAGTACCTGGACTATAGAGGATAGCGTCCTTTGGCAGCGTGTGGTTCGACTGCTGCATGCAATCGCGTATACAATGATTTGCGAGGGAGAACAACCTCGCTTATGTAGTGACTTGTAAACAGACTGCTGACTGTACTACAACACGGCAATGACTTTCGAAAATCATGACAACGGCGCATCAGCATTCTGTGAATACCTCAACGTTACGCTTTCGTTGGAGGCTTTGCCTTCTACCAGCTTGGTAGATAGACCGGCCCCATCTGAACAGACTGTGGTACTCACACACACAAAGGTAAAAAGCAAACTGAGGCCTGAAATACAAAGTCCTGCCGACAACGTACACAAGTTTCGGAGGGCAGAGATATGGAAGGGACGAGGGTAGCTCCGCTGCTCCTTGCTTTGAGGCATTCCTCGTTGTCCAGTCTCTTTTGGCACTTCTGCGTTTTTGACGTTGTGTCTGCTTGCCTTCGCCTTCTCAATGCTATCTGTAGCACATCACAGGCCGTTCCACTGCTGGTTTGCATCAAATCTTGCTGAAAAACTGAGCAAACACTATCGGTAAATGAAGTGGGTTCCAGACTCGTCCGACTCAGTCGATAGACATGATCACAGTCTTGATGGAAACTGACCGAGTCATACCTCATCTATCATTGAGAACATACCTACAAGGCAAACCTCTTCCATCGTTACGCCCACGCGAAGGTTCGACAACAAGAACGGCTGCAAGAGTTGGAAGGTGTACTCGACGACAAGGAACAAGCCGTACTAGCGCTGCAAAAAGAGGTAAGCGAGATAAACCCGACAACACGTCCGGCACGACCGCACTTTGTGGAAACCACAGAGTAGCAGGATTTTCGCAGTCGTATCGGTGGTGAATGACAAGTACGTGAATCGGACGTTACTACATGTGGACGAATGTTAGAGACAACAACTTCTGACCGCTACCTTCAACAAACGGCGTCCTGGAAGGCTGGATAACCTTGTCCTTTCCCTAAATCTAAAGCAAGGACCCACCCGAGTGCCCGGTTTTCCATTATTGCTCTTCAGCAAGAACACATCTTCGGCGGACGCCCAACTTGGATTGCCATGGGGTGGATATCGCATAGATTTGAAGGGCCCTAGAACTGGCCAAGTGTGTGCAATATATGAAGAAGAAACTGGTTTTGAGACCAGGCCACGGTAGTGAAGGTTGCTTAACACCTGGCTGAGGTCGTCATATCGCAGGCATTAACGGACGAATCAATCTCCTTCGACCTTCCGTGCATGCTTCGTTTTGGCTGGCTGTCAACAAAACGCTGGAAAAAGGTAAAACGGTTGACTCGGGAACTCACTTCCGAGGGCTCGGGTGGAATCCAGAAATCTGCGCACCCTTTAGAGCCGGTGATCCACCTCGTGGGCGACAGCAAAACCAAGCACTATGCCATCGGGTGAGCTGCAGCAGGTGGTAGCCGATGGAAGACACGCCATCACCGGCGATAAGAATGTGGAGTTGGAAAGCAGTAGGAAAGTATAGTCCAATCGCTGGAGAGCAGAATGTTTCGCTCTTCTGCTGGGAAGCAGTCGTAAACATTCATCGCGAGAATAGGAGGCAATACAGCTAGAAAACCACGAAAACCTAAAATGAGCGGATGTACCTCTTCCTTTCTGATGTCCAGAGAAAGTCGATGAGAGAGCGATATTGAAAGTTGTGATTGCAAGGCTTTGGGAGTGAGGTCCTGTCGATGCAGAAAATCTGTATCTTTGGTTGCAGCCACCACCGACACGTGGTTGGAGCTCAACATGTTTGCCCTGCGTTGAAAGAGTTTTCCAGCGTTGGTACATGTCTTCCTGGACACGATTTTATCTTCCATCGAGATCTTGTCGAGGTTACACAAGAAGGTGGAGGGGCACGTGAAATGGCAGTGAGAGGCGAGGCATCGAGGCCCTGCGCTATCGGTGCCAGCAGTGGCAATAGGCAGAGCTCCCAACAACCGAGATTTTCTTTTCTACCTGCGTGTCAAGCTTTCGTGTCGTCGTTGCAACGCAGGCGAAGGGTGAGCATGGCAACCGCATCGGCGCTGGAGGACCTCGCGCCAATGCAAAGACGGGATTCCATGGCCAGAAAGATGACCAAAATGTTCAAGACGCCCGACATGCATGCGGCCTTCCTAACCTCTTCCCGGTTCGCCCTTGACCTAATCAAGGTGCCGTACTCGAGATTGCTCTAGGAATTCGAAACGATGCCACATGAGAGGACCAAGTATTAGAACCATGACCATGCAATCTGTATCCTTCCAAGAAGAGAAAGGAACCTTTGCGCACGTGCTTGTCACTTCCTCTGTCGTCCGTGGCTAGCGCTCCAGCCTTGACTTTGAAATCTCGGATCCGAGGAACACTGCCCTGGAAAATCCTTATGCCCCCTTCAGTAGAAGAAGCCAATTTGGACGCGCCCTCCTGCTGAAAAACAAGCCCCCCCATCGGTGTTTGCCATCGGGATTGGGTTTTCGTCGCTTGGCAACGACGTTGTAAAACAAGCCAATTCACTTCGTGAGCTCGGCAACCAGGTTACCGTTTTTTTTTTTCCCTGTTTTTTTTTTGGCGGTAACCATAATGGTGGTCGAGTGGATCATGATGTGCGGGGTGGAAAACCCTCACTCCGCGCAAGGGGGATGATCGCACCACGTTGTGTTAAAATGGTCAAGCACCCTCGAGGCAGTTACCCAGTGCTCATAACTATCTCTGGAAGTGAAAGCATTAGAAAATAAATTAAGTCATACGCAGCTGTCATCCGTACGCGAGGAAGTAAGCACAAGATGCCGAACACCCTTAGCAGGATGCAGCCCACCCTTCATGCGACCCGCCGAATATCTCACGGCGCTTCGCGCTTAGTGATGTGAGAGCCTGGTCCGGTGAGAACCCGGCGTGCTCCGTCCCGGCTTTGTAGGGATGCGAGGTCAATGGTCTAAAGACACGGCATGCACGACTATGAGTACAACCCCCCCCTCCTGCTGCCCAGGTGTGCCAGCGGGTGGCCCCGATCTTTGAGGCGGAGCCGAGAGCCGTGCTGCTGCAATCCCCAGTGTACGTGTTCGGGGATATTCATGGCAACCTCGAGGTGAGCCTGAACGTGTAGAGAATGGCGCCCCGCTTGATGTAGATATGTGTTCAACAACGGCTGGGCCATAAACTCGCGACTTGGCTAGGAGGCCTCTCTTTGCGTGGTAGGGGGTGCTGGAACTATAACGGTTAGCTCGACAACGGTCTCCACGGCCCCAAACGACGGACGAACAGCAGCCCGCTAGATTACACTTAAAATGCTTCGCCGGCCGGTTCGTGGTCAACGTCGTCGCCCGCTTTGTGCATGGTTTTCCGGCTCGCCAAAGCCGCACGCTAACCGCACCGGACCTGTCCTTCTTGTCCCATCTATTCCATCCGCCTGCGTGCCCGCTGGGTTTATTGCGCAGCGTTGAAGGAGCTTAAACGCATTGCCTGCGTCCGTGGTCTTGTCTTTCGTTCCCTGTCGCCAGTGGCACCATTTTGGATTATATTTCGGGGGCGGTTGAACTTGGCAGAGCTGAGGTCGAACGACCGCCGGGCAGCGTAATTAGTGTACGATATTTCCCGATGGCAGTAAATATACGGTACGCCATGTCCCCACCAGAAGCCCCAGGAATAATTTTTTGAGAGAAGGGTGCAGAAACCAACACCACAATTACATGTCACTAAACATGAAATGTCGTTATTCGTACCCGCGTTGTCCCTACCTTCCCGCTACCCGCCGCTACCACAAACTAACGTGGCTTCATCCAGGACCTCAATTTCTTTGCCGACAACATGTGGAAGCTGGGGATGAATGTCACCGCCGGCAAGTTTCTGTTCCTTGGAGACTACGTGGACAGAGGGATGCAGGGGCTGGAGTGTCTGGCCTACCTGTTTTCCCTCAAGGTACGGGGAGTTCGGGGAGGTATTGGACACAAAGATGCTACAACGCGTGTACAGCAAATTGAGCCTACATCTCTCGTTTGCGCGCCCCACGATGTTTAGAACAACCTCTCTGCGTAGTAGCTATCGCGAGCTTTTCATGGAGGTGGACATTCACTCTCATGCTGAAAAGTGGCGTCCCAGCATGGACAAGGCACACCTTTGCACGCAAGGCACGTCGATCGCAGCACACTTAGCCTTGACTTGACTTCTGTGCCCGGCGAATAGACATGGTCTTCGCCTCCATTATTCTATCTACCACACCCCTGTCTCTGCGCTCTGACAGAGAAAAAGATGACCAACCAGGATTGTCGCCTAGCCCCGGTACCGATGTTGTTGACATCTCGGAAAGTTCCACCCCTACTGCCTTCGCGACAGATCGAGAACCCCGACAAAATGTTCATGCTCCGGGGCAATCACGAGCTGAGAGACGTGAACGGCTGGATCGAGCACTACGCGGAGAGGTCATTTTTGTGGCAATGCCAGGTGGGTGTCCGGGTCAATGTCGAAACCTGCCGCAGTGCACGACGCACGTGATCCTTCGGACCAACGAATATCTGACATTCACTTTCGATCTTACCCCAATACGAAGGGAGACTACCTCTTATTCATGTCAGTTGCGTTTCGGCCTTAGTCGAGGTGAACGTTGTTTGGCTGCGTCTCATTTACAAAGATGTGCTTTGTGTCCCTGGTTCCAGCGTTACCTTGCTGTACGTGCCTGCCTGAATGTTTTAATTTGCAACAAGTGATGACTCAACGGTTGCTCGCAAAATGCCGTTGTTGGTGCTATTTCTCGGTGCACCGCTGGACTCCTTCCTCCCCGCGTTTACCTTCTCCGGTCAGAACCGTTTCGGGGACGCTCTTGGCGAGAAAGTGTGGGAATCTTGCAACGCCGTCTTTGACCGCCTGCCTCTCGCGGGGGTGATTGATCAGGACATATTTTGCGTGCACGGGGGCATCCCGCGCCCGCTTGAGGGCTCGACTTCTCGTATACAGGTCTGCCCCCCGGAAGATCGCATATACATAGCAATACATATTGAAGTGAATAAGTACGACGAGAGCACTTGCTATTTATCAATTTATGACTATCTGGTTGCGCTCATATTCTCAGTCTCCAAACCCGAACAATTTCGCCGCGGTCGGTGGGCGGAAGACGAAAACAACTTCCGGAACAGAAGCTTCGTTTAAGTGATCCTTGGTGTGTTAATCCCCAGGACATCATGTGCGTGCCGCCGGTGGCGAGCGTGTGCCCTCCGAACGAGTGCGAGACGTTCGAGTCACAGCAGGTGGCCTCGGACTGCATGTGGTCAGACCCTGCTAAGGACGAGCAGGTGATAAGGACACATCTCATTGTGAGGCAGGGTATCCATCGAATGAGCGTTTGGTTTAGGCCCCACTCTCTGACATCGATGTTTCAATATTGTATCAGTGCGTTTTATCCATGTGGTCAGATCTCGTTGCAAGTTCACCAATCTTGGCTTGAAAGTCGACTTTATCCCCTTCTCCAGCTTTCCTCCGTTCGTTTGATTTCCGCGTTTGCTGATCCTGATTTTCTGCTTGCGTAGTGTGCCGCGTTTTGAGTCCCGTTTTTCAGATCTTGTGTTCGGTCTCATACTTGAAAGCTAGTGTTCGTCTTGTTCTGCGCTTCGTGAACTGATTTCACATGGAAACGTAGGAGCTGGACTTGGAAGATTCAGGATTCGGCGAAAGCTTACGGGGAGGTGGAGCAATCTGCTTCGGTACGAAGGCGATCGATGATTTCCTCACACAGGGTAACCTCAGCTATATTGTGCGCGCACATGAAGCACATTCGGAGGGGGTGTCATTAAGCAAGGGGGCGAAGGTGCGCGTTGAGTTTCTCTGTTTTGATTGAAACTTGGTACGGAGATGTCCACAACGATCCTTGGATTCGTGTCGACAATGATCGTTGCCGAATTTCTTGTAGATGGATGGAAATATCCTTTTGAGAGTACTGCATGTACAATGCAGCTATTGCAAGCAATGCCGAACTCTCGGAAACGGAATGTGATGCATGAGCTCATCTCGATCAACCCGCAAAGGAACACGGAGAATTTAAGGTATTCCTCACAAGCTAGGTTGTCACGAACTGTTTCTTGAACGGCGTTTGGTAGCATGCGCATCAACGGCGAGCTTCTTCCGACTACTGTTGCATTAGACCTAGTCAAGTGCCGTACACGGCGCAGAACGCAGCAGCCACAGAATGGACGGCAACAGACTCCAACCAACGAACCATGACAGACCAACGTCAACTTTTATTGCATACAAAATTGCACTTGCCTCTGGGTTATCGTTGTTAGGTGTTCACGGTCTTCTCGACGTCGAAAGACCACGGTCAGGGCAAAGGCGCAACCTGCGGCTGCATTCTTGTGGACTACCACCGCCTGCTGGTAATTAACCGATCGGTCAAGTACAAGAACAAGTACGTGCACCGCAGGGACAGTATGTCCCTGGCAAATCTCACCCTGCAGGAGCTCCAGGCCCAGGTCGATCTCGGCCTGGTGGTGCAGCCAGACTCCGAGGACGAGGTAAACATCGAACATGGTACACGAAGGACATTTTTTTTCCACGGGAATCGAGAAAATTTCGTGAAACATGGCATCGTTTCTTTCTCGCTTTTGTCCCTCCCTGATTCTTCGATCGGATGTCATAAAGACGCCGACTATTTGGCGTTAGCTCGAAGGAGAAATCTGCGTGTATAGGGCGAAGGGAAAAGTGGAAGTGTTGACCTCAGTATCACTATGGCACTCAGTATCACATTGGATACTCAGGGTCGCATTTGATACTCTCAATCGCGCTTAGAATTTACTTCTCATTGTTCCCACCCTTACACCAGGGAGACTGGTCGAACCCAGGGAAGTAGTAGGCCAGAGATCGGACGCCGAACGTCACGCTCTCTCTTGCTTTGGTACGGGCACGAGATTGAAACCAAAGGCCAAGTTCTGCCGCTGAGTATGATGAAGGATTGTTGGACGTGGGACATCAATATTCCACCGTACGCGACGAACGAGTACCAGTTCTGCAAAATAGTTTTACCCTACTGCAATACCTTCGCTCTAGTCAAAAGATACTTCTCATTCCGATTAGCCGCAAGCGACAGAGACGCCTTACGATAGCGTGAGCTGATGCGTTTTCAACAGACGTTGTGCGGCCGCGAAAACCCGCAATTGCCTGAAACTCTTGAGACAAAAATGCACACCTTTGGTGCAACATTCCAAAACGTTGGTGGCCTTCACATCGGAGCAAAGCGATATCAATTGTGTTTGTGGGTGTCGATGCAGTGATACGGAGAGCAATCGGCCCATTTGAGACGCATTCGACACATCTCATTCCGTTGTCGCCGTGCTCGTCGTTATTGCTTGGCAGAGCGATGATGAACCCGCGGGATACTATGACCATGCAGCAGGGGAGGATGACATGATCGAGCGAAAGAGCGGCGGGAAATAAAGTTCTTCTCGTGGAACTAAATAGAGTAGCAGCAGCAAAACCGTGGCATCACTGATGTCGCCACGATATGATTGAGTCATATCAACCACGTTTGTTGTGACATGTAGTCCAAAAGTGGGCTAGACTACAGGTTTTTCGTGGGAACGCTCGAGGTGTTGTCAGAGCAACATTCTCTGACTGGGGACCATGCCTGATACCCTTCCGGGCTTTCTGGGATCTCGAAAGGGAATGTTCTGAAGTCCCTACCGGATCGCTTCTTCCGCAAACGGGTAAAACCTACAGGCAGAAGTATCTTGGCGTGAAGAAAATGTTTTTAGGATATACCAGGGAGACGTGTGGTGAAAGTCACTTATCGTGCTCTCAGTGGTGTTTCTCTTTGTCGCGAAGAACCGTACTCTGTAGTAGTACGGCCGTTCCTTCCGCCGTATGAAGAGCGTACTGCTCCATGCATCTTCTGCGTTCGGTGGGCACCTATTCTCTGTATTTCAACGTGGGAACTCACTTCTGTCGCAACGTAGTGAAGGCTTGCCCCATTTACAACTCTGCAGAAAGGTCCTTTCGAGCGCCGGCTGCGGATGTCTGGAAACCTCATTAGGTATCAACTCTATGACCACCAAGCAGCAATAGGGGCGGTCTTAAGGGCGACGGGGTGTCCAATTCGGTGGTCTAGCGTACTTGGTCGTGTAAGTAAGGGCGACGGGGTGTCCATTTCGGTGGTCTAGCGTACTTGGCCGTGTAAGTGTTGGGGGCTCACAATGCCGTATGTATCGCAATTTATGTTCAAGCTGTCTGTACCTGGAAAAACTCCTACTCCTTGCCGCATTGCACGAAGGAATGAAACGTAAAAGAAAAGTCAGTGTGGCTTAACCTCTTGTCGGAGCTCTTCCATTGGGCGGCAAGGCCGTACCAAACGTAGACTGTGACGAGCTGCTATGTGGTAGACAAGAGACGGTTTGTCGTACGAGTGTAAATTGCGTTCTCGTTCTCCGCGGGGATCACTGAGGGTCTCTCTTGGCTGCCGGCCAGCACACTTTCGAAGCATGTACCCATTTCACTAGTAGCCATCTTCGCCTGCTGGCTTCTCTTGCTTCCATGTCGTCGCATGCGTTTCGTTGGGACTCTAGACTAAGGGAGCGCGTAGACTCTGAAAGACGATATACTGTAGCTACATGCTTGTTTTCGCCACTTATGCTGGGCGCTAGTTTGCACCATCTCGGTATATGTTAGAAAAGTCAGCATATGGTTGAACAAGATGAATTCTCCAACCATCCTCCAGCAGCACCTGGCTTCAGTTTTCATACGAGAAGGGCACATCGCTCCTCTTGCGACCCGTGTACATTCACAATATATGAAATTTTTCCAGATTTTCACTCCGGATGGATTCGAAGCCTCAACCCACAGACATCGACGTTTTACACAGAAGGACCATTAGCTGAACCTCTCAGCCAGTGGAGTGTCACCAGGCTTTGCAGTGCACTCCGAGTGTTGCTCCGAGGGGGCAGCGAGTTGAATATGCAGGCCACGTTTCATGTGTTCGGCATGGCCGTTTTTTTTTGTCTCGCAAAACACGAAGCACCAAGTTTTTATTTCACTCCCAGGATATTCGTGCCGTGACGCCTACCTGGTTTATTGAGAATCTACACACCAAGACAGAAAGAAGAAATCCTACAGTACCTACCCGTTCGAGATATTGCTACAGTAGATATTGGATAGGGATGTGTTCAAGACTTGCAATGAGTGGGAGCAAATCCGGCTCTCGCTCGGGTCGTTTCCCGTTTTTCCTCACAGCAACATTTGGGCAACATGCCAAACACGCCTGCACAAGATTCTTGCGGTGACAACAACTTGGCGAAAATATATCCGGCGCAGGGTCCGTGTGAAGCTTCGATTTGTGCATTTGTCGGTGAGGTCGAAGTATGCATATAACATGTGCGTATGGCTGTGGCCGCGCAAGTGCTGGGTGCGGGGATCTCATGAATGAAGTCGATTCCCCCGCAAATGCGGAGGGATTGGTCCCGATTCGCAAGAAACATTTCGAGGGAAGCGGGCGACACGGAGCATGCACACATACCCACACGCCGCCGGGATCCTTAAGAGTCTCTCTCATACACAGGGACCGCGGGGCATCCCCTCACACGAGCGGCTCTCGTCAGATTCAGTAATCTGACAACAATCGTTTCATTCGTCCAATGACGTCATCGACAACACCGAGGACCCGTACTTCAACGTCAGCAAATGGCGACGGCGACCAGCGCCGCAGGTGAGCCAGGAACAATGAAGAAGGGTCGATGCAATGTACTTCTGTATCTGGAACCCTCGTTCTCTGTCCTCGTATCCCAAAAATAGGTGAAGAATTTCCCTGGATAAGAAACAAGGCGCAATCAATGTGGCCGTTGACACTACATGTAAGAACGGCACCTGCGGCGCACAGAGGCAAGAGGCACAGCTACAGTTCGTTGTATCCCGGGATACGTTGTGAAAACCGAAGCTCGGGAGTTGGATAGTAGTGGGTGCATAGGCTAGACAGACGCTTGGACGATGTTGCAGTATTGCGATAACAACCACAAGCAGTGCCGTAGCTGACGTACGGCGAACATCGCACGTAGTTGACGCAATGCGAACATGGCAGGCACTATTCAGTTCTTGGCCTGTGCGTATCATGATCGACCGGTTTTTCACCCCAGCAGAGCAAATCTGCTTTGAATTTCCATCAGCTGTCTTGTAAGTACAATAATAGCATGTACGTTCAGGGTTGGATCCGTCCCCGACTCAGAATCAACAGTAGACCGCCATTACGGATTACTTGCTCAAGTCGCCAGTGTGCGTAAACTGTGCACAGATCGATACATTCCTGAGAGCTATGTATGCATCTCTTGCGTGTTGAGTCTCGATAGATCTACGCTGTAGTCTATTAATAGTAAGTCTTGGCCACAGATTGTATCTTCAACAAGAAAACAGCACTGGTTGGCAGCTCCCGTTCGTCCCTCCTCGTGCAACCGGGGCACTACTGTAATTGACCGCGGAGTGCAACAAGAACTCCTCGAGATCCTCAAGGTGACTCCCTATTGTACTTAAAAGTAGTGACCACCCATGAGCATGGAAGCACGTCATGCTTCTTTCTTGGCACTGCCCCGGTTTCTTGTCTCCGGCTCCAACAACAGGAGGGTGCTTCACGTAAATCCGTAGAGTATTCCGAGCTCTATTCATGGCAAGCAACCGTCGGGAGCATTTTTTGTATAGTGTTCAACTGTTGTCGATTTTCAACCTCGTCTACATCATCAGATGGGCATGGCAAAGCTTGCCCGTCCTTCAGCTCCCACGTGTCGAGGTCGGCGCAATCGATTCATCGTCAAACAACAGCAACGGAGAATTGTTGAGGTCTCGACCTCGGAGCCTCTTGGCGAGAGTGGAGAATCGCATCCTTCAAGTAAAAGAAGACAACCAAGTGGAGAGCATATTGAAAACGGCAGAACAGGTTCTTCACCTCCGACGAAAGTGAGACACGAACACTTCGCTAGCACTTTTTTCCGTATCCTGTCCGTGACTCTTGCCACGAAGAGGCCTCGCACGTTTAGAAGAACCAGTGGTCAGCAGGTAGATGACACCTTACTGATGGCTGTCGAGACCCCTCGTCTGCGACGGACGTGGAGGGTAATGGTCAACTGAGGCGTGCTACCGGTCGAGCACTCCCTATACTTACTGCAGGACCAGAACGAAGCGAACCATATGAAGGATGTTTCGCGAGGCCATGCTTACGGTCTCTGTTCAAAGCGAAATGCTGCATCGTGCGATCACTGTCCTGCCGTCGTTTGAGGTCTCCGAGAGGATTCTAAAGAGGCTGCTTACGTTATCGGCAAACACCTGTGCGGGCGCAGGGAGGCCCTCGGAAGATGGGCGAACTCATCGAGAAACTTTGTCAGCGAGAACCGATGCCAAACAGTCGGGCGCCCGTGCTGCCGGAGAAGAAAGGAGCTCGAGCGTTCTCGGCACGCCAAGAGTGCGCGAGAGGGAAGGTAGGGTCCATGGACAACTGTAGTCTGTTTTCGGGGCTACCCGAATCAGCAGTGGATTGAGTGGTCGGACCCTTCCTCTCGTGTAAATATACATTGGAAGCTGTTGACGTCCCAACGGAAATGTCATGTCACCCGAGACCCTATAAACCGCTCGACCACGACATTAAGTCATTGTTCTAGACATTCTTTCCGGCAGTTATCAAAACCGATATGTTCGTCGTACCATAAATAATCGGGTTGGAAACACAGACATCTGGTCGACGAACTAAGCCTGGTGTCTCGACGTACGAATACGCTGCACTGAATCGTGCAAGAAAGCTGTCTTCTAGAGCCGTAGCCTTCAATGCCACTTGAGTCGTCTCAACGACTTCCAACATGATCAGATACGTTCCTGCCTAGGACTGCTAGCTTCAAAACTGTTTCAACAGATGACGTTGAGGGCTTGCTTCTGGTAGTCGGTGTAACGACAACGCGTTAAGACCCGTTTTGCTAAACCGCCCATGAGACACCCGTGAGTCACCCATGGGCCGCCCATGGGTACTTCATGGACCCCCCATGCGCTGCCTCATGGGCATGCCCATGGGCGGCCTATGAAGTGCCCGTCGTGAGCACTTCAACCTAGAACTTCGCCACCAGCATGTCAACCTAGACCTCAGCCACTTGCACTTGGAACTAGAACTTAGCCACCAGCGCCAACCTAACACGTATCGTGTGGGCTTAGGGTTAGGGTTAGGGTTAGGGTTATTAGCCGCTGTCATGCCCGTTCCAAAGCAAGTGATCTTTTGCTTAGGAGTACACTGGTTCCGGTAGAAGGGTTATCATTGGCCGCCCATGGGCTTTCCATGGGTTGCCATGGGCCGCCCATGGGCTGCCCACGGGCTACCCATGGGTCAACCATGGGCAACAAAGTGCCATGGGTCAACCATGGGCAACAAAGTGCCCATGGGCGGTCCATGGGTGTCCCGTGGGCGTTTTTGCAAAAAATGGGTGGGAGACCCGGCCAAGCCAGGGTCCTCTGGAGACCTGCTGGTGTTTGGAAGAATCTTGAATCACCCAAGGGTGTTCCACATGTAGGCCTGGCGTTGAACACGGAAATCGATGGGCTCGAGGGACGTCGGCAACCCTTCCCGAAGAACTGATCGCTCTTTCGACAATCATGCCGAAAACGCTGAATACTCCCATAGAGCAATGAGCGTCTATTGAAAGAATTCCCATGAAAAATGATCATGTCTCTCTGTCTTGCAGTACCCCACAATTTGTATTCCAAAGGCACTTGCTTGCTTGGGCAGGCGAGCGAAAGTCATGCGCTCTCGGGAGACCACACAACTGTTCCTCATCTCAACGAAGGCTTTGGCCAACCGAGAGATGCGCACTTGCAAGGCGGAACGGGATCGCGCTTTTGCTGAGCTTGTGTACGGAAGGTTGTTCACCCGCACAGGTGGGATCGTTCGGACCTGGACGGCTATCATCGCCAACATCAAGCGCCTCTTGTTCTTGGTGAGTTCTGTACATGATAAAAGTCACGTTATGTACGCATTACTCGATATTTTCCTCGATTCCGCACTCTCTCCTTCGAAAAAAATTCACAATTCAGTGTTGTCCGTACAAAGGTTTGTTGCGTGCGCTATTCTTGAGGTCATTTTGGCCATTTTTCCCAACTAAAGGCCACACATGATGCGCAGATGCCACATATTGTGCATGGCGCGGACGATAACGATATTTCCATTTGCCTGCGATCGTACGACATTGTTCAGCAAGGAGCGGTGGAGAGGGCCGCCCGTCAACATCTGTTGGAAGCGAACATGAAGTGAGACAAGTTCCAAGTTCGAACAGGGATCATCTGTTATCCTTTCTGTTGTCGGCCAAAGCAAAGTCACAATAGTCTGCAGATGGATTGGGGCGGTTTGGCATATCACCACGGTATCGACATATGTCAGGCAACGTTACTCCAGCCCAACTCTCCTGAATCGCGTTCACATTCTTGTTTGTCCGGTGGATGCGCTTCATGCCCCGTTCTGTTTCCCGAATCTTACCGCGCCACACAGCCGCATGGCCATCGTGACGAGGTTCATCGGCCAGATGGCCCTCAAGCGTCGGCGCAATAGAGCGGTGAAGATTCTCATCGGGGCTCTGAGCGCGTTCACCAGCTCGAGCGCCATCGGCCGCTACGCGCAAAGGGTCAACTGGGGTACTCGACACCTCCAGGCCGTGGTGAGACGGCGCATGGCCTGCATGACGTCCCACCTTACACTTCTCAATCGGCACTGGGACCGCCTCTACCCTCCTGTTCCGTTGCCGCTGATGACAACGGGGATGCCGCTTAGACCGCCATCCGAAGCTTCACTGCCCCCGTCACAACCTGGAACAGCAAAGACAACCCCGGCAACATCGACATCGCCGAGCAGCAACAAGCGCCCAAATCGCCGAAAAGGCGCCGGGGGGCAGGGGGGGCCCAAGAAAGGAAGAACCCGTCCGAAGCGCCAGAAGAGCGTCGTAGGTCGAAAAAAGCAGTTCCAAAATGATGCTGGTGGTGGTGGTGGCCAGGGTTCCGCAGGTGCAACACATGCGTCGACGGTGCCAGAGACGGCTGAAAGCAATAGTGCGCCCCGCGAGACCGCGCCGCAACGTAGGAGGCCCCCTGTGTACGTCTCAAGCGAGGCGAAGCATAGAGAAATATTTTCATGGTTACAGAGGACGAGGGCAAAGCATTGCAGGGACATCATCAACTACGAGCGTTTCACGGTACGACCCGTAGCGGAAGCTTGAGTCACCTGTTCTCCTACCGGCAATGGTTCCCTAGGTCTGGTATTGCCAAACCGCGACAACGTGGGTGAGACAAATCGAAAACACGTGTCCCCGACAATGTGTGGTGCGCGCTTGCGCGGCTGTTCAATGTCCTCCCGCCCGAATTGAGTGTTTCGGGAGCGTCGCAAGGAGGCTGTATTTTGATTCTCTCCGTCATCTCTGTCAATCAGACTCTACACCATAAGATCCCATTCGGTCTCACCGGGCGTTGAGATACTCTTGAATAAGTTTCATGGTATTTGACGCCTGTCGCTATTTCGACCCGGAACGAACAATACATACACGACTTACAGACAAGTTAGTTGAACAGCCTTTTTCTTCCCTCGAACTTCCACTGAATCTGAAACGCACCAAGATATTCCCATGTATGGTGGAGCTGCTGCTGCAGCACGAGCGAAGGACGTATGGCACCCGCCTACAAGCCGTCAGGCACGTAATCACCCTCCGAAGCTTCGGGCGGCTGTCTCGAGTCTGGACGGAAGGCGGGTACTTCGCCAAGATGTCGCACGCCTTGCCCCCCCCGCCTCGTATGCCGAGGGTGTTCACGCCGGAGGAGGGTGACGAGATGTTCGACCGCGCGGCTTCCAGGTATTGCTGCTGTCGGCGGGAGTAGGCGTCGGCACAGGTGTTTTCCAAATCACGGAGAAGGTGGAAATTAGTGCCTCATGCGTAGGCTAGGTACGTGGGAATATAAAGTGCTTTGCAGGTGATGTCATATCCGCGTCTGAGGAAAGTCCAACATATACATTCGGCAAAAACCACGGGGGTTCATTGTTTCGTCTGGGGCCAGCTTGGACGAACGGAGAGCGGTGAACGAGCATGACTTCGGTTTGGCGGCAGAGCATACACTGGAGAACATTTCAGTGCAAAAGAAAAGGCAGTCCGGTTGTTGACTGCACGCATCAAGGAGACGACCATCCACTTGCACCGCCTCTTCTGTTTCAGATCAACGACACCTTCGTCTACACGTGCTGCTACGAGTATCCTCGAAGGGGGGTCTGGGGCCGCCGCAGTCTCACAGCCAGGAGAAGCTGTTGGCGGCACAATGCCGTCGGAAGCGGTCTTGATCGAGGTGGAAGCCGCGACAGCTGCGGCGGCAGCAGCGGCAACAGCAGGGGAGGCGGCCGTGAAAGCTGTCTTGGGGAGGGGGAGCGGACCAGGGCTGTAGCTCGACGTTCGTTCTTGTTGTATTGCCGTTGTCAAGGAGTACCGTCTAAGATTCTGTTTAACGATCAGGACCTTGCCTCGCCAAAGCAGCGTCGGTCTGGACAGCGTTTAGGCGAGCTGCCTCCTTTCTGTCTTCCCGACTCGCCGAGTTGTTATGCCTCGTTGGCTTTTGGTGATTGGCACACATCTATCAATCTTTTTCAGGATTCGGGTAAAATGGAGAAGAGCGAGACCTGCGATGAGAAATGGTTTACTTAAGAGAATATCTTTCACACTCAGCGGAACACCAGTCAGGGGCTGGCATGGTTGCCTAGCAGGCGTGTGTAATCAAAGTTTTGCACAGGCTGTGGTATCTGTCATACTCCTGCCTGTGGTCCTGTCTCCCACACGAACGGTATCCGCCGTCCGTTGCGTGTGAGGGGTACTTTCGCACGCGGGGTCCGCCATGAGTGTGCGTCTTATTGCACGTTTTTCCTGCCAAAAAAAATTGATGTCCGCCATGATTCTGTCACCAACGGATAGCGCCAAGGGGGGTCCAACTCCACGGCCCGCGGGAGTCTGCCACACTTCGGGATGAGATCGTACCAAACCTTTTGTCGGAGATATCTTTGTTACTGGGTCGGAAACCTGGCTCCCACCTTTATATACCTGAGGCGCCAACGGCATGGAACGGGAGCTCCAGCACTCGCTTGTACGGTTCTCCTGCTGTCAGCAGCGGCGATCGAACCTGCTTCACGCTCACTCCCCCCCCGTGCGTGTCGGCCCCACTTCATAAAAGCTGGGCCCGCACCGTCCCGGGTATGTCACCGCGACCTCATCCTCCTCCAGCACCCCCTCGTCGGTCCCCGATGCTGTACCTGGGTGGCGGGATGCTTGAGCCCCTCGCGGGGCGGCGGTCGGGCGAGCCGCTGGTGGGGGAGTTCCGTCGGCAATCGGAAATATCGTCCGTTCAAATTGTGGGTTTCGGATCGCGCCCACCGTGGTTGGGGGAGGGTGTTGCGCTGCCGGAGAGCCCTGGCGTCGGGGGCAAGGCCGCTCACGATATCAGCCCAAACCATCTTGGTGTCGTTCCTAAACCTCGCCAGGGCGTCGGCCACAGGACTAATTTAACACTGCCAACAAGCGAGAGAAGAATATTCATTCGCGAAGCGCGTCAGAGATTTGGCCAAATAACCTGAACAACAAGCTGTCGCAGCGGTAGGGAGACGGGATAGTGACGTTGTGGACCTGCTGGCCGTATGTCCCGCAACTAGCTAACTTTTTACTCTTTGCTTGCACATGGCCAAGTATTGATGGTGATCACCAACAATACTCCACCTCACACGATATCCCAAAAGTCACGTTTGAAGAGCCTCGGGAGCATACCTTTGGATCTTCGCGAGTCTGGAAGTACCCTCCAAGAGGGATAGGTGGCCCTGAGAAGGGATGTTGCTGTTATTGTTGTTGACTGCACACAAAAAGTCGGTCCGGTCTCCATTCCGTACCAGGTATCACTTAATTACTCGTACTGGTCCAACCAGCTGACTCTGGCGCCTTGTACAGTTGCAAACAACTAATACATAAAGGCATACAATGAGTGCTACGCCCACGTGGGAGGCGGCGATAGCTGCAACGCTGTGGGTAAGGCGTCGTTGAGGTACTCGATCTCTACTCTTCCTTCAGCCTCAGGTGGATTGCATTGTATGCATGGCTCTTGTTGATGTACGCCCACGTGGGAGGAGGCGAAGCTGCAACTCTGTGGGAATGGCGTCGTCGAGATACATGGACTCGAAATCTACACTTCCTTCAGTTTCAGGTGGCTTACATCGTATGCATGGCGCTTGCTGATAAACATCAGCCTGTTCGCATGCGGTTGAACGCTGATTTCGTAATCTCGATACCACTGCCACAGCAGCAGCAATCGATCCTCTTGTCCTTCTGTAGACTAGACTGACTCCTTTGCTGTGCCCGTTGAGTCGCCTGATTCGTACACACCGTACCCCGAGCATAGTAGTTTGTGTACCCCAACCAAGCAGTCGGAAGGGCGTCCGCTTGCACGCACTGCAAATGCCTCTTTCGTCTACGTTTCGTTGGTGTCGTTGTTTTCGATTTATTTGGCATTTTGAGGTGCCGGCGCCGTTACAGGAAAATTTCCTGTATTAGTCTATTAATACTGATTTGCTGTATCACCGGTAGGATAATCAGATGTCCATTGCCTATACGCGTGTCGTTCTGTTATCCCGATGGCGCGGGAGATGCGTCGGAAGACAAGTCTTCTGGTGCGATTTGAGCATTTAGTGTAACAGCTTAGCGTTCATTTGCAAAGGCACTGTAGAACCCGGGGACCCTTCTCAACAATCCCCGGCATGTGACGTAGTCACCGGTGCGATAAACAGGGATACTGATTTGCGGTGTTCACCGGGAGGCACGGGGTCAATCAAATAATAATAGTCTATTTAGAGAGTTTCGTCCGGGATTGCAGCCGAGAGAACCTCCAAGATGGACAAGCTGAGACGAAACCTCGAGAAAAAGAAAATCGTGGTTAATGTGTACGATTTCTCACCCACGTTCAGGCCGTCGGGGCTCGCCAGCGCACGACCCGACAGACTAGCACGGTGAGCTGCTGGTTCGCGTACCCCCTACTTGTAGTGTTTCTTTTATTTTGCAAGGGTCCCCTTCGGGAGTTTGGTGGCTTGCTTCCCGGAGGCAACGCGTGAGGACATGACCATTTTCGTACGGCTTGTTACACTTCAACTCTTAACTTTCGGTTAGTAACTTCAACACACCCGTTCGGCTGTGGTTATAACTTCCTACTAAACCTCTGGACATCTTCCCCAATTTGTCCAAAGTTCTCCTGCGCCTTGCTTGCGACTTTCTTCGACGACGGTGGGACGTATACGTTCCCTAGAAAAAAATATTTCTCACCCCGCTCCACAGTTATCTTAACCTATAGGCTTTCCTCGAACTTCGTTGTCACCACTTCTTCCACCACGTCAAACAAGTGTTACTTGACCAGGAATCCGACTCTCCCCTCCCCCCTTTTCTTCGGGTCTAAGCCCTTTATTGCCTTCCCTCCCCACCGGCCTTTCCCTAGTTTGCTTACCACGTCACCGCCCATCAATTCCCACGTCTCTTGGATCCCCACTATATCTAGATCGCTTTGTTCTACTTAGTCCACTATTTCCAACCGCTTGCGCTCACTCTGGAGGGGGGGCGGGGGTGCACGCATAGTCGTGCATGCCGTTGTCGTTAGAACGTTGACCTCGCATCCCGACAAAGCCGGGACGGAGCACACCAGGTTCTCACCGGACCAGGCTCTCACATCACCAAGCGCGAAGCGACGTGAGATATTCGGCGAGTCGCGTGAAGGGTGCGCGGCATCCTGCTAAGGTGTTCGGCATCTTGTGCTTACGTCCTTGCGTACGGATGACATCTGCTTTATGACCAATTTTTTTTTCTGGTCCTTTCACTTCCTGAGACAGTTGTAAGCACTGGGTAACTGCCCCGAGGGCACTTGACCATTTTAACACAACGTGGTGCGATCATTCCCCCTGCGCGGAGTGAGGGTTCTCCACCCCGCACAACATGATCTACTCGACCACCATTATGGTTACCGC